AGAACCGCAAATGCCCTGGCAGTTTCTCCAAGTTTTTCTTGGCCACACTTTGTTTTTTAATATAAAATGTCCCTTATAAGATCATGTGTTTGAACTCTCGTCCCTCAGTTAGTAAGCTTGTTTTGGTAGGATATGAGTCTAGGAGGTGACATGCTGCTGTATTAAACGAGGCAGTGAGGGTGGGCCCCTAGGCTTAGTCAGCCTCACTTCCTGTCTATGCTTTGCTTCATTATTGTGGGTTTAATGTGACCAACCACAGCTCGTTCTTGCTGCCATGCCTTCCCTACACTACCAAAACTGACTGTGTCCCCTTAAACTGTAAACCAACAACGTATACTCTTTCTCCTTTAGAGTTTTTTTGTCACAACAAGAAGCAAATTAACAAATACATATCACATATAATATATTCATGTCTATTAAAGCATATTGATCATATATTATCAGATAATATATTAAATTTATTAATGTAATACTATATATTCATTAATTATTATTATACATATAGAGAGATAGATTGATTGAGATCTGTTTTTCTACATATAGTTAGACAATCAGGAAAATTTCTTACATTACCCATTATTACTGATTATATAAGTAGTTTTACTTCTTCATGATATTTCAAATTAATTATTTTTATCTTAATTTGATTTAGGGGTTAAAATCCATTATGGGGAATGTATTAGCAAATCTTCCTAAAGTTTAGAAAAATGAATTAATTCACAAATCTGAAATTTTAAGTACAAGTCTTAGATGAATTTCCCAAAGGTATTTGTATAATTTCCCTTAAGTGTTATAGTGCCTGGCTTTGGGAAAGTATTATTCACAGTGTGCCATTTCAGAATATGCTGGGTAGTTTTATATCAGCTTGCCACAAGCTTGAGTCATTTTAGAAGAGGAAACCTAAACTGAGAAAGGGTTACTATCAGATTGGCTTGTGAACAAGCTTGTGGTACCTTTTCTTATTTGATGACTGACCTGAGAGGGATCAGCTCACTGTGAGTGGTGCCTCCTCTGGGCTGGTGGTCCTGAGTGCTGTAGAAAACAGGCTGAGTAAGCTACAAGGACCAAGCCTATAAGCAACATCCCCCTCCCCACGGCCTCTGCACTCTGCATCATCCCTTCCTGCCCCAGGTTTCTGCCCTGCTTGTGTTCCTGCCCTGACTTCCTTCCATCATGGACTGTGATATGATAGTGTAGTGAAATAAGTCCTTTCCACTACAAGTTTCTTTTGGTCACAGTGTTTTATCACAGCAATGGAAACTCTAAGACACAAATGAGCCAAAATATTACCTATAGTGGGCAATTACCAATACGGAGTCAGGTAGAAATATAAGGGTATTTAATAGGGAAAAGCCTTACTTACAGAGCGACCTAGCCAGCCGGCGTGGCAGCAGCCTGTATGCAAGCCAAAAAGAGAAACCGAAAGAGCAAACACAGTCACACTACTTCACTCTGACCACGCCCTCACAAGCGAGGTCAGGCACAACTGTAGCCAGCCCCTAAGTAGGCATGGCTACAGCTTCCCCTATAATTACCCTACTGTTTAGGTTGTGGAAAATTATCAATGTGAACTGTATTTAAAACTAAGCAAGAAAATATATTATCCACAAGCCATACAGTATCCTTCATAAAACAATGCAGCAAAATATAATTGGAGATGCCATCTATTGCAAGGACAAAAGAGTACAAAAAATAAAAGCAGTAAAAATGTTACTTTAAATGTTAGTTTATTATCAAAAGTAACTATATTATCCATTGTTTCTTGTCAATTGATTTGATTCACAAAGAAGTGTGTATTTGAACTCCAAATGTGGTGCTATGGAAAAAAAATAAGTATATGCTTACTTTAGGGGATATTCAGTATTGTCCACCCAAATTTATCTTGTGTTAAAATGGTAGATGTTTTGTCTTGTGAATATGCATTTAAATGCATCCTATAAGCAACATTATGTAATTATTTAATGAAAAACCTTTCCTACTTGATTCTGTAGCCACTTAGCACCCCTCAAATTATATGCTATTTTTCCTTCCCAATCCTTTCACATTCCCATTCACTTTTCAGCCAGTTGCAATTATTTTTCTAAAAATCCATTTATTTTTCCTATCATCCATCGATAGCCTCATTGCCCAAGGACCTGATAGACATGCTTTCTTTCTTCCTGTTTTCCTTAGTATTTTATATTAATGAATTCTCTGTTTCATGTGTGAAATCTCCCAAGTAAGTGAGTTTATTGATTTCTTTAAGGTGCTATAGCAAACTACTAAAAATGTGGGCACCTTAAAACAAGAATTTATTCTTTTTCCATCAAAGCACTGGGACAGTGGTAGAACTCTTGTCTAGCATGCATGCGACCCTAAGTCCAGGAAAAATGTCAAATAAAAACAGTGGCACAGAATATCAGGTTTATTTTAGACTGCCCATAGGAAATGGTTAGAGCTTTCTACTATTCCCAGTGATAAAAGTTCTTGGTAGAGAAATTTTATACTTCAAGGGATTTCACACCCAATTTTGTACAGACTTAGAGTTTAAGTCACAATCATGAATGGAATTGTATGAATGAAATTACAAAATGGCTGCCACTGTGTTCACTGATAATATACTTGATTATCCTGATACAAATGTCATTGTCTGAAGGCAACATAGAAGTTTTTGTATAAAGAGAGAAAAGAGAAATAAAAGAAATTATAAGAATAAAATAGTTTTGTTCAAGAATAGGAAAACGTGTTGATTCCTATGAAATCAGTTGAATATCTATAACTCTTCAGAGGTAAACTAGAATATATAGATTTATGAGACCACACTTCTTTGTAGATTTGTTGTCTAGTGCCTTGCAATTTGTATTGGTGAAATGCAGACATTTAGAGCTTGCACAAGTCCTGTGATATCATTTCCCCCTAAGGATATGCAGCATTAACTCTACAGTTAACTGATAATGGGCATGTTACAAAGATTTGTGACTTGACCTTGGATGGTATTTTTGGATTTATGAAAACATGATGTAGTACAATTTTAAAATAATAGAAAATATCACCCAAATGGCTATCTACAGAACTTGGTTAATTTATCCTATCAAAATTGCCCCTTTGAGGGCTCTGGGGAAGATATCTCTATTGGTAGAGTGTTTACCACATAAGACTCAATATTGGAGTTTGGATCCCCACACCCATGTCAAAAAAAAAAAAAAAAAAAAAAAAAGCTGAGTGTGGTGATGCACAAGCTGCCATCCCAGGGCTGAAGGCCAGAAACGGGAGCATCCCTGGGTCACCCTAGCTGGCCCTTTAGAATCAGTGGTCTCTAGGCTCAGTGACAGACACCATCTCAGAAAATAAAGCTGAGAGCGATCGAGGAAGGTATGTGATGTCAAGCTTTGGTTTCCAAATGCATGCACATGCACTTACCTGGACATGTGTGCATAAACATGTGCAAATACATACATATACACATACAGTATATACACATACAGTATATACACAATACAGTATCTACACACATACAGTATACACACATACAGTATACACACCTACAGTATATACACAAAGCTACTGCTTTTGATCTATTGTTTTCCAAGTGCTTCAATGGATGGAGCTATCAGCTTTGAAGAAATGATTGGGGCACTGTATCATATTTCAGAAATGAGCAGACTTGAAGGCTGTATAGACCTTCTGTTTTTTTCCAAGATACAGTGGCTCCTGTTTAAGAAGTAAGCAGTGTGGTTAGTTAAAGATTGCAACTCCAGAGATGTGTATCACCAATCTCACAACTAAGGGCAATCATAATTGTCTTAGATTTTACTTATCCTATATATTTTTTCATGGCCTTCTCAAGTTAGGATAGGCAAAAAAAAGATTGATATTGTCTAATGAGAATGGATAAAATGGGTCCTGAAAACTCTTAACTCATGTTTGTTAAAAATACATCAATTTTCGGCTTTTCTAGATTTCTATGTATAACTTGCACAAACATTTCCTTTCTGTATTTTTGAGACACCTCTGAAGTGACATTATGAAACTTATTATGACACAACTTTACTTTTCTCTATATAGTATGCTGTTTAAAAGATTGGGAATGGTAGAAAAGTCCATTTAAGAAACGATGCTAGTGGTTTTTGTTATGGTCATTGTTTTGTTTCTACTTTATGTTGGCAGAGTTCTGGTGTTTTCCAGATGATTAGTCTGAGTCCCAATTTCGTCAGTGTAAAACGACATGTTAAAGATGAAATGCCAGGGACAGGTAACCATTTAGTCCACTGTCTGATGGTAGTAGGGAAAGAACATATGAAGCCATTCTCTATAATCCAACAAACATAACTTGATAGTACAATCAAGATTCAAGACCTACTCACAAAATTGTCATCTTGTTCAGGTTGTACCAGTGCCTACACACTTGTATTTACTGCCACGATTTTTGCAAGGGAATATTGCAACAGAGGAATGAAAGCATGCCACTGTGCGCTGTGCCTCTACACTCATGAGATTCACCTCTTCATAAAGTGGCACACTTAGTGACTCCTTCTGGACTTCACTACCCATAAAACTATTATATTAAAAATGTAAAGTATAAAACAATTATCCCTAAAACAGATGCTGACTCATCCCCTGCTTGGGCTCCTCTGAGAGTCTACATTCATCCAAATTGGAGCAGCTACTTTTGTTTCTGTCTCAATTCATTTTAACAATTTTTCTTTTTTTTAAAAAGGGGTACCAACAGATGTTGGTTGGAGGGAGCCCTGATGACCAGGGACTAAATTAAGACCATTAAGTTAGCATGAAATGACAATGAGAAACAGAAAAATAGAAATTGCTTTCAGATATTCCTAATAGGTCCCAGGTTTGGGTTGGGAGGTAGCAGTGTCTTACTGTTCATCATTAGAGTCCTCCGTTTCCGTGTTCTTTAACTCATGTTACTTTAAAAGTGCTTTTGAAATGTTTTTACTCTCATAGGAGAAATTATGGTCTTTATTTAAACCTTTTATTTATTTTTTTTATTCCTTTCTCCTCAGGGATGCCGATCTTTTTCTGTTAGACACAAGGAAGGCACAAGCTTTGGATGTGGGTTGGCTTGTCTTTGACATCACTGTGACCAGCAACCATTGGGTGATTAACCCACAGAACAATTTGGGCTTACAGCTCTGTGCAGAGACGGGGGATGGTAAGTCCTGACCTGAATGTTTTCAATAGGCCTGGCTTTAGATCCATGGCCTTTTTTTTGTTATTTAATTGATGCTTTATACTTATGTACAAGGCAACACATTCCTTAGGATAATGCAAAATATTGACAAATCAACTCACAGAGATGTATTTATTTTCTATACATGAATTGACTGGATCTGGGCATGGTAAACAGCACATACCTAGTCCCACTACTGCAATATAACCAATGTGAAAAGTGCTGTGGACCTATGGCTTGGTTGTGTTATGAACACACACAACTATTTTTATCTGAACATGTATCTAAAAAGAAAAATTATATTGAATATGGCAGGGAAACAAAAGAACTAGCAAATAATAATATAAGGATACAGATGGAGTAAGGGTCATGAAAAAATGCACAAAGTTTTTAACATGTTGTGACATTTGGTCAAAGACAATTGCACAAGTATCACCTATGGAAGGGGCCATTTTAGGAACCTCAGGCAAAATTCTAATTCTTTCATGCACACAAGTGTTCACCGAGGACCTACTATGTGGTGTGTACTTGGATGCTGGACCCAACAATGGCAATAAAATATATGCAGAAAAGGCTTTCTGAAGTTTGTCCTGAGTAAGACCCAAAGTGGTAATCACATGGTGATGTTACTGAGCTTGCCATGGTGAAGGGAATACAGAGAGTGAACTGAGCTATAATCCTCAAGACAAGGAAGATATGATTAGTGGTTGGAGTTATAGTGATGGGAATTTCGGACAAAACGAGCAGACTCTGTAGACTGTATAGAAAATACTTTGGCCCCATCAGATAAGGGCAGAGAAGCCTCAGCCAATTTCTTCAGACCTTGTCAGGCCTCATTCACATGGAGTTCAAACACTGTCATTCAAACCTTTACTTTTGGGTAGCTCAAAATTATATTTGTCATGATAGGAGGGTAGAATATAATTATTCAATTTATGTTAGCTTGTTTTGTAATTCTTAAATATTTCAAAATGTCCTCTGTGGCTATCCATTATCCCATGCCCTAAATCCTTCTAATGTTACCCTTAGGTTCAGAGAGAATGGAGTTCAAAGGTTTATTGATCAGAAGACATCCTTGTTTAAGTTTCACTACCGTTAGTTTTTCCCAGGATCAGGCACTGGGCAATGCACCTAGAATGTGACTCTTTTAGTTCTCCTGCGGTAGTATACTATTGCCTTAATAGACTCCACACTTAAAACCTAAGTAGGGTCTGTCTCTGTCTCTTTCAAAGAAGTAATAGCTGCATGTATTAAGATATCCTGGTGATCATGGTTCACCTATAGCCAGCCAGCTTCATAGCCTGTTTGTGACATCATAAACAATGTTTTGACTCTGAGGATTGTATATGTGGAATGAGGTTGACAGTCGCAATTTAAATATATTACAAGGTTAATCAAGTGAATGTTTCATGTGCCCCCAAATCTTGATCTAAAAGAACAGTTCCTACTGAAAGTGTTATCAGATAAGATCTTGGAATTTTCCACAGATTTTCATTTGCTATATTCTAAAATTTTGTAAGTAACTCAATTATATTGGACTGTAGAATGTTTTCTAATTATGGATTTGATATTATTGTTGAAAACCATCAAGTTTCAGCTTTTTAAATGTAAGCCAAGGGAAAGAGCATATTTAAATGAGTTTCCAATTATTCTCACTGTCTTAGACTACTGTACACTAATGGTCAGAAATGTGACTGGGAAATCAGCTTTGTAGGGGTGGAGTTGATTGTTTTCTTCCTTGGTATGTGACCCAAAGGAGAGAAATTAAATTAGTGGTGTGTACTTACCCAAGTGTTCTCCCAAGGGATATGCCTGAAATGTCTAACTAAACAAATCAAGAAATCTATGAAACATGATCAGCCTGTTTGTTTTCTTTTAATTTCCACTCCTCCTCGTACCACACATGCATTTCTGAAATTTTGCTCTTTTTTCATTCTTCCCCCATTGCTTTTCTATTTCTTTCACTATATGATTTAATGTCAGTTCTACTGTTGATTCTTTTGTCTCTAAGAACTTTAAATTTAGTTTGCCTTATATTTATTTCTCATGTATTTTGTGAGTAATTATGCCTTAAAGAACTATTACATTATTTATAATTTGAACCTGACATAAACTAGTACAAACTCTTTTCAAATATTTCAAATTTTTAGAATTTAAGTTTTGGTTTGGATTTTACCTTTTGGTGCTTTTCTTTGTTTCTATAGAAGTCTAATGTGAAGAATATTGAAATAGTTCAATGTGCCAGGCTACCTGGTCTTTCATGCACAAATAATCTTTATGACAATTTAAAAATAATAAAAGCCAGAAAGGAAATACTAATTCAATATGGGCACACTGGTAAGAGGGACAAAGACATCCAATGGCCTTTGCCCATCCAAGTCTATCTTCAGAGTCTTGACATAAGAATAAGTTTTAAATAGGTTAAATAGTTTAAATAGGAAGCAAGAGATACACTTGGCAAAGGAGGACCACCAGGTGTGGTCACATGCCCAGCACTGTCTCAGTGCCAAGTGTTTTCTTTGAGGTTAGTCTCTATTTCAACATTGTCTGGCAAGTTCTTTATTTGGTTGCCCTTTCTTCTTGCAGCAGGAGACTTTTGAGAAATTCTCATTTCATTTTTTCAGTGGTATGACAGCCAAAGAAGGGGAGAATAATGATCTCTTTAGTATACTAATCCTTCTCCCCCATACAGGCTAGATATATTTTCCCAATCTTGAGGTGAAATATGTCCATGTGTGATGCCTGGGGAGATGGCTCAGCAGTTAAATGCAGTTGTTGCTCTTGCAGAGGACCTGGGTTCATTTGCCATCACCCATGTGACAGCTCACAAAAGTCTGTAACTCCAGTTTTGGGGGACCAGGAGACTTCTTCTGGCCCCCATGTGTACTTCATTCATGTGGTGCATGGACCTACATGCAAACAAACCACCTATATACATAAAAATAAGATAAGTCTTATTTTTAAAGAAATAAGTCTTATTCTTTAAAGAAATATGCCTGTCTCTGAAACAAATTACCATAAACAGAATGTAAGTAGGAGTCCATGTTAGAACACATTCAGTTAGTGATGGATTATCCTGTATAGGAACCATTTCTAAATAAGCCCCTTGGCAGATCCATCTTGTTGGTTTGACACAGAGTAACACAATGAAGCCTAGGTGGTCTTCAAACATATGCTCTTGCTTCAACTTTCCAAGTGCTGAGACCGTAGGAAAGTCCTACCATGGTCAGCATGACTTCATTTCCGTTCTAGTAACTTCCTTCCTTGTCTCTGATCAGTATTCTCAAAGATTTAACCGATTAACTATCTGTCAGCTCCTTTTTTATGGTCCTTCATGGCTGGGAACAGATTTGATTTTAACCAGAAGTAGAGCATACATGACTTTGGGAGACCGAGGACCCTCCTGGTACCTTAGTTTTATTAACTGCAGCCTCATAGCAAATGCACATGTGGCATTATTTTCCTATAAATACAAATAACCAGATGTTTCAGGTCTTCGCAGTTTCATTCATTCCCAATAATGATATATGTTCTCAAAGTTCTCAATTAAATTTAATTTATCCTCTTCTGTAAAGAAAAATGGCAAATAGGACATTACTTCAAATAGAGCCAACAGACCATTTATTTTTATTTGCAATAATAGATTGTGAACTACTTCTTAAGTACAATCCTTTGTTTTGTTGAGGTATGGCCTTACATATTGCAGGCTGACCTCAAATATATTAGGCGGCCAAGGAAACACTCCTTGTCTTTTATCCTCCTGCCGCTACTGACATGCTGGGATTACAGATATGTGCCACTACCCCAGGAACAGAATTTAGGGTTTCCTGCATGTTAGACAATCATTCTACCATTGACTTGCTCCTATACTTCTAGCTTTGGGGTAGATCTTAAGAGAGAGAGAGAGAGAGAGAGAGAGAGAGAGAGAGAGAGAGAGAGAGATTTTGGGAGTTTGGGGAGTGGCAGTGGAAACTGGCAGGGCGATTTATTTCTGGACAAGGACACAATGTTATTAAATGTATAGAATGGCAATGGTGTTGTCTGCTTAGGGAAAGTTAACCATCTAGAATTGGGTAGAACAACTCTCATGCACAAAATGGCTGCAGATTCCATTAAGAAAGTGAACAGAGTCATAGCAGGAGCATGGAATCTAAGTAAATTATAGTATAATCTTGCAACTAGATCGTGAGTAATAGGAAAGCATATCTTTAAATAACCATAGGAACCAATCTATGATTTCGTGTTTGAATGAATATCAGGTTCTGGTGTCCAGAATTGTGCATCTCTCTTTCACGGTTGTATCTACCATGCTTGGCATAATGCAGGACACATGTATTATAAAACTGTCTTGAGGGGTAGTGAAGTGGCTCAGTGTCACCCATGATGACCTGACTTCAATCCCCAGGACCCTTATGGTAAGAGTGAACTGGTTCCTGCCAGCTGTGCTCTAACCTCCATGAATGTGCCGTGGTACGCACAGCCCCTAGACATATACATATGCACACAAAATAAATGAATAAAATGTAATAAACTATACTTGAAAAAAACTATCTTGAAAATTAAGTAAGGTCTTTGTGGCCCACATGTCAACAAGAACAAACCACAGTCAAGTAGTTAAATAGCTTCAGTTACAAAATGAGGAGAAAGTCAGTGTGACATACTATTGAATTTTATTTATCCTCTCCTGTGAAGAAAAATGGGAGACAGGTCTAAATATGTTTTGGAAATCAAAAGACTATTGAAATAAAAAGCAGCATTGTGACTCAGAGAACCTGTGGAAACTATGTTTGTGAAATAATCTTTTTAGAAATTTGACAAATGAACTGCAATGGATCTGTCATGAGAGTTTAAGGATATTTTTGTTGAATTTTTTTCCATGCTTAACAGATGATTTTCTGAGCTCCATTTGTTTGTTTCCACAAAACAAAGTGAACATTTCAAACTATCTCCCTTTTTTCTTGCAAAATCCAGACACTCTCAGA